ATTCGAGTGGCTCCCGCCTTCACGCCCGTTATTGGACAAAGAGGAATATTCCGCGCCCAAGAGAAACCTTCTTCGCGCAGGACCTCCTTTTCCCGTTTCTGACGGGCTAGAGGCGCGCTGAAATTTTTACGGTGAAAGAGAGCGAGTTTTGACGACGGTTGGATCCCGTTTCGCTCGGCCGCGTACTATTTTCTATAGCCCTTTTCGACAAAATAAATTCCCGGCACTGTAACACGCTTTCATTCGCACACGGAAGTGTTGCTGTGTCGGCTCGCGCAATTTGGCTCGTTTGGCTCGTTATACGAAAATCGTGAAGTTCTGGATATCAATTTTGAGCATCGTTGTTGAAAGAAGTTGGAGAATGTCGAAGCGAGAATTTGTAATGGTTTCGAACTTTTGAATTGTGCGCTAAGTTTTAATTTCCTATCTTGAATGCGAATGTAGAACTTTCTACAATCGGGTTAGGTAATATGATAGGATGTTTTCAGATTCTTCTTATGTGCGATTGAGTGCGGAAAGTAGAACGAAAACTGATGATCCGGATTTTTCCGCTAACTACCCACTCAGCCGAGGTAAAAGTTTGGAATTTGAAATGTTTCCTCTGGATGAGTTATCGAACGAGCCATTATCGGTTTAATTTAAATAGAGGAATTTTTGACTTTGTTACCCGGCTACACCCGTTAGAACTAGTTTAAAAAGAACTTGGTTGCCCTCCTAATAAATCAGATCGAAGCTACAAGTCAGATAATTATTTTCTAAAATACATTCCACATTCATATACTTTAAACATCTTATATTTCCGTTTAATCCGCAAATTTGATGAGAAGCCGATTTGAAAAACAATAGCTACAAGATTGTCCCATGGGGAGGAGAAAATTATATTTTAGAATATTTTAAAACTTAAATGAAGTTGTAAACCATTCCGTTCAGATGAAAAATTATGGATTCTTTCCGGTCCTCAAATGTTGACGCTAAATTAATTCCGCGCGTAATTCTGCGACTGCTCCGTGGCACAACAAGTATCATCCCGTGAACCGCCTTTCCACCTAGTGTACACGTTTATATTAATGCCTTCCGGAATGATGTCTTTGAGAGTAGTATACGTTTGCCGTGCCAACAGGCAATCCCAACTTTTTATTCCCCCTTCCCGGCGTTCATTTTTTTTCAATCTTCCTACACGGAGAGGACAAGATTTCCCATATCTTTTCCGCGCGCTGCCCGGCTCGCCCGAGGCGGTCCACTGAAATTGCATCTGGAATTTCAATATAGCGCATATCATACTTCAACCTTAAAACGCCGCGGGCGTTGTCCGGTATTACTTTGAGGTTTCAGCTCCCAGCAGCTGACTTTGCGGCCCGATTATAGAGATTCCGATTGAGGGGATGTACGTAAGTACCAGCGGGGAAGGCCGCGGAGCCCTTTCGGTCCTTTTGGGGCGCAGAGTCGAGCCTGTAGGGGACATTAGGTGGATTTCCGCGGAATAAATGATCAAAAGCCGAGCATAAAGCTGTTCCTATCGGTGACGGGCTGTATTTGCACGCTCCGCTGTGTCCCCGCAACCGTCGTTCCCGTCGGATACGTGCGGTCGCAGCGAAATTCGCGAATTCTTAGGGTCACCGCACGCCTGAATAATTTTTAATGGCATTGTCGGAGGTCTCCGCTCCGAAAGAATCGTCCCGTCTCGAATGGCCAACATGCATTATCCTGATGGTACGTGCATTGTGCCCGCGATCTTTCTCTTAACATTGCATCGTCCCGTAATTTCTATGCTTCCGTATACTCCTACGCGGATTGCTTGAATAGTTTTATATCTTGATTCCATGTATTACTCCGAGTGGCCTGTTCTTAAAGTCGACCTCGTCCGTTAGCTTTCCGAAGTAATGGAATGTTTAGCATTGATAAGATGAGAGCTAAGGAAATATAAGAAACGACGGTACGTTCACTTTCATGGGATAAAATTTTGTTGTTCCTAAGATGATTTTATGCGTTTCGTTTCAATTTAGGAATGATTATGTTTGGATGATCTCATTTTAGTTAAATATCGGATGGATGGTTATTTTTAATTTGGTAGTGTGCGGGGATTATTTTAAAATTGTTTGTTTTGTTGTTTTCTGAATTCTATAAATGTCATTGACGGATGTTGATTCTTTAGACCTATAGTATTTCCGTTTTCTGATTTCGGTTACTCTTGGAACATAGAGGAATGTAGAAACTGAATAAAAACACGAACGAAACTAGACACGAACTTGATTCCGCACTCCATCTATTAAAACTATTAATTGATATAACGGGTCGCTATTCAGTTCCCGTCGTCATAAATTGCCGCAGAAATTTAGATTTACGTAAACACCCGCGGTCCCCACATAATTGAATAATTAAACTTCGACCCGCGCCATCCTAATTATTCATCCAAACGTGACTAAGTCCAACTACTTGGAAGATTACCGGTCTCGAAGCTCGAGGAACTCACGAAATCCTCTAAAATCATCAAAGTCTAGGGAGGGCGGACTGGGGGAGGAGGGGAGGAAAAATTAATGTTGTTCCGGAGAAACTCGTGGCCTTGTTGCCCGTTTCGTTTCCGTCGCCACCGGGGAAACAGAGTTCGTGGTGACACTTTTAACGAGCAAGGAATTCAATTACAAAATATTGCCCCGCCCTCCGGCTAATTACTGAATTCAATAAGTCGTTACCTCGCTGCCGAGTAAAGTATAACGTTACAATGGAACACGTTAAATTTATTAATGCGATTATCTCGATGTCATATTAATTAACCCTTTGTAGTTCTATAATAAGTAGATGTTACATATAATATACCGGCTGAGTTACGCAACGTGACGATTTTAAATAACTTATAAAATATGTACTGTACGAAACAATGTTTCCGACAAAAATTGCACTTTTACGAAGGGGGCGTATACTAGTAATATGCGTTGGCACCGATTGACGAAATACAGACGACCAGCGTTCGACTTTGCCTCCACTAAGATTATTTTACACTCATGCAAAAATAAAATACACAAAACATTATATTCCTGAAGTAACTTTTATGATTATTGGAATTGTTCCATAGCCAAAAGATTTTTATTATTCCACGGTACCAAACTCAGTCATAATGAATTTTATATTAAATATGAAATGTTAAAAGCTGATGAAGTGCTGTAACGGTAAAATCTTAAAAAATTCAAACAGTGGAGTTAATCGATTTGGCCGGTGAGCGGCGAGAGTCTTGACGAGTACGACAGTTGGTTTGTTATACGCGACGGCGATCGTACAAGTCCACGGGAAATGGAAAACGGGACATAGCGAAAAGTTACAATGCCCAAAGTTGCCGGGGGTACGGGTGATTAATCGATACCGGGCAGCGACCGATAGTTCCACGTTCGAGAAGTTGTTCTCTTCGGAACATAATCATGAGTTACGGCCGCGAATCACTCGGCCCGGTTCCACGCGTGTCTCCATCGAGGACTGGATACCAGTAAATAGATTGTTTCTCGTTGGTTGCTTCGCAGAAATAAATTCCGGCCGGCGAACCGAACTCGGGAAAACTTGAGATCGTCGAGTGTGGAATTATATTTCTTCGAAACTCGTCCGTCCTTTTGGAATTTCCCGCGTCAATTTTAGCTGGGATATCACCCGGCATTATCTAAATTTCGTATTTGAGGGGGACAAAGATAAAAGCAGGATCGGAAAGTTAAAGGTTCCCGGTAACAAGTGTGTCAACGACAGCGAAGTTGAAGACTTCTGTTGGTCGATGAATTCAGGAAAAGTTTCGAACACCTTAATTTGGGAATCGCTGATACTGATCCAATATTCCGAACTTAAAACACGGATCGCTGTTTGCCGCTGATTTCCGAATTAATTTCTATTCGCGCAGCGTGGGGGTTTCACGTTGACGCGAGCGAAATGTGAATGAGCTCTCTTTTCCGCTGTTTTTTTAACGAGAAATATATGGGGTGGACTGGTAAATCGGGGTATGGATGAGGACGATCCTAGAAATTTGAGTTATATGCAGCGTGAACGCAAATGTCTCTACTGTTTTTAATGACGCGAGGAAATACGCGAAGAGATAAATGTTTGTTCTCGAGCGGAGAAACTTCGGAAAATATGACTTTGAAAGTAATTCTTTTTTATTATAATATTCCATGCTTTTCAAGTGAGTAGTTTTTTATTAGAAATCTTTTTGTATTATTAAAGATAACAAAAATACGTTAAGTAACAGGATAACAAAGATTAATGTTGTAGAAACATAAATATGAAATTGTAATGGTAATCCATTTTGTGATAGATTAATTGGACACGAACAATAAACTTCCGGGAAGTGATACGTCAATTTAATCAATTGCACTAACGCATACATTTGTTCGTATAGATTTGATGTAACATTCAGCGTTGAAATTGTTACGTCATTCCTATTTGCCTGTCATTATTTACACTCTCCGTATTTTTCCCTGATACACATTTCCCTATTTTCATATTGAAATAACAATATTGAATGAAGTTTAATCAAGTAAACATAACTGCACTCTACGAATAAACCTGTGTACTTAAGCAAATACTGTACTTTAATAAATCAATTAAATAACACCAGAAAATTGGCAAACAAACTGTCCGGTATATAACTCAATGTATCGTTGGTTGGCTAAATAATCTGAATATTTCAATTACTCGACTACAAAACATCGTATTTCGTTCAAATTACTAAATGTATATTAAAATGCTACACAATTGACAATATATTCTATTACAATTCACCCAATTTTTAATCTAATAACGTGAAACTTTTTTCCAAAATTTCTAACGAAATACAAGAAGTCCTCGATGAATCCTGCGAAACAACTTCACTTGGATGGGGAACACAGATTCTTCGAATTCTTCTTTGACGTTAGAGTTCAAGTAATCCCAAGCGGGCTGTTTGCATGTCCCCGAACTTGTGCACAACAAACTGAAAGGGCAAATAGCCTGTAAGCCGGTGTATGTAACGCGACATGTTTGATTTTCAGTGTGTCACTTACTTCGGAGCGGGGTCGCGGCGATTTTTGGGCCCCAGAGCGCTCACACCGCCTCGCATGTGCAAAGCATTTGCGACACTATGGAAATTCCGCATCTGGAAACACGCTGGGACTACCGACTCAGACGGCAGAGCTGTCTCGTCAACCTTTATCCGCATCCCACCACCCTCTCCAAGGTGCGTATACATTTTCGCAATAATATTCTCGTCAGGACACTGTCGAAACTCTATTACCACCTTCGCCACTATTGTCTTTCGCAAGGTCATCCCCTAATTAGTTTTTTATTCAAGTGGAAAATGATAAACTCGAATTAACCGTTAACGGTCCAGTACCTAGTATCTGATGAATACATTTTCACATCAATGTACATGCTGAATCAAACGTGTTTATTCTATTGTATAATCATTTTTCTAAATTTAACCTTTTACTTGATCTTCGAAATTATTTTACCAGATCTTTCTAAAGAATTTTTGAAAATTCTTTTTCAACTATTTTTATTTTTTTCGTCTTCTATAATTTTGATAGAAGCATACCGGGTTGTTATGGATTCGTTTTCATACGGGTGTTCATTTAAAATTTGCTACACAAGAGGTGTTAGGTTATCGATAGCCCGGGGATTTTTATGCAAATTCGCGTATTCAAGCTCTCGTATGAATATCCCATGCAGTATGTGTCAAGACTTCCATTGAAAACGAGATTTATGTATTGATAGTTGACAATATCGTCTCGAGCCAATGAAGAATCCACACAATAGCAAAAACCATAAATACACCGTTTAAGAATCGTTGAATGCTCGATTGTTCTAAAGAAAATAGGAAGATTGTATTACTTTATTATAATACATTAAACGTACTATTTTTATTATTTTTTAGAATTATACTGCTTTATTTTATATGCATTTAACGGCAAAGTATTAAAGCAGTATATTTAGAAATTGACTAATTTTGGAAAAAAGAGAAACCACATGTGATCGCTTAATTTCGTTCGGTTATTAAACAATTTATCCTAACGTGTTCATGAGTGAAATTTCATTAAAAATATTTGCATATTTTTATATTTTCAGTAGAAGTATTGCAAGTTTCTCTGTAATAAACTTCATTACACCGTTGAATTTTTTCTTCTGTTTCCTTCAACTGTTATTATTATTTACGTCTTCATTACGCAGCTTTAGAATAAAAGGTATGAACGTAACAATGTTTCATTCTTGCATAAAAACGCGGGATCCAATTGTACAGCTCTGATTTATGACAGGTCTATACGGCTGGTCTATGTGACTAACAACGTGCACAACACATTATTATTACCATAGCGTTTATTATGCATGAAGAAGGATTATACAGAAAGCTTGACTGTGTCGAGAACTGTGCTTATGAAAGGTGAACTGCAGTCAAAGGCTGCTTTAACCCTTGAACAGTCGACCGTGGAACAGCGACTCTGAAATTTCTTGCTGAGTCATTTATAAAGAGGTATCGGTAAAAATGGAAATTTTTATACCGTAATTCATGAAAATACTTTAGAGTCGTTAAGAAATTCAAAATGATACGAAAATTCCATTAAAATTCCTTAATCTGCATCTGTCTTAAATATTATATCGTTTATAAACAATTTGCACATATTCTCCAACCGCACAAAATTAACAATCTATTTTCGTTTATCTATTATATGTCCATTTTTATTCATCTACTATTTTTACTTCTCATTTTTAAATTTCAATAGGAATTCAATTCTCAACCTAAACAATAGGAGAAATACCCGTACTTCTACAGTTGTAGCATACCAGAGATTTTTCACAATTTTTGCGTGCAATTAAATGGGGAAAATACAACGGAGCTCGATAATCCGATTTTCCCCTGTAACCTATCCGTCCGAAGTAGAGGATTGAAACTTGGCACAAAATATTTTTTCACTGTAATCTATCGAAAGCTGCATCGTCGATTGAATTTTACTTCAAAAATCCTCCGATCATCCCTCTCGCTGAATCTTTCTAACACACACCGGCGCGTTGCGTTTCACGTTGCGTACAGGTACATACATGGCTGCACAAAAAGGAACAAGTCGAGTATCCTAGAATTTCCATCAAACATTCATAAAGTACACATAACACAGTTTCTGAGTTCAATAATTTTACGTCAGCTCTTGTGAAATCAAATTTGATATAGATCCAAACATCCAACGCACCATAAATAAATACGCTCCACATTTTTCGGGGTTAACGCATGATACCTTATTGGCCGGTGAACTATCCTGCAGAAAACATCTATCAACTTTAATATACATACTTTATCCGCATATAATATGCTAAAACGATTGAAATGATTTTAACTAATGAATACAATCTAGAATGATCTTATAACGTAACCTAAACTTTAATATACGTACTTCATTCGCACATAATATGGTAAAACGATTGAAATGATTTAAACTAATGAATATAATCTAAAATACTCTTATAACGTAACCTAAACTTTAATGTACATACTTTATACACATATAATATGCTAAAATGGTTCAAACGATTTAAACTATTAACGAATACAATCTAGAAGAAATTAATACAAATACAACTCGTGTACAACTAGGATCAATACGAGTATACTCGTGACCGGCCAGCCAGATGATAAAATTCCAAAAATGATCTTTCTCTTTTCTTCCCTTCTTTCTTATTCCAATCCCATCTTACGTTACAGGCCTCGCCTAAACGCATTAGAAAACAGAGTCGTCCAGAAAATATTCACAAAGTCAGAAGAAATGTGTTAAGTGGCGGGGAAACAGCGCAAAAGGGCGCGGGTCTCTTTTTCATCGCGAAACGGCCGAGGCGGTGTTCTTTGGGAAAAGAGATTTTCCCTGGCAGTTGCGCGTTCTGTTTGCCAGTTTCCCCCGGCAGTCAGAAGTTATAACAAAAGAACGGAAAATTTCCGAATTTCTCTTAATAAACCGGAAGTTCCATGAGTAAAGTGGCTGAAAGCAACGCCGCGGCCGCATTCCCCGGCTTAACGAGAGTTCCTGTCGTCGACGTCCCACGAAATCCCGCGAACCTAATATTTGCCGGGACCCCGAATACCCGTGTGTATATATACCCATGACATTTCCTTCGTCGACTCGCTCTCTATTAGTATTTGCTAGCCGCGGACTTATTTCCGCGGTAGAATCTCCGCTCTGTCCTCCTCCGCGGATCCGTGAACTTCGACACCGGGTTACAGGACGTTATCGGCGAACGGTCCCTTCCACTTGGGAAACTTGCGGCTGATCGTTACAGATATTAAGGGAAAATTCCGTGATGCTGATGGAAGCGTTCGATGGCGTCGGGGCTCCGCGAGTTCGGTGTGTTTTCGGGGAAACGAGTCGAGCGAAGATAAGGAAGTCTGCATAGAGCGTTGAAGTGTCTTTTCTGGACGTTCTGCTCTTCGAGAGCTGAGAATACTGTGCGTGAGAGTCTCTTGTAGATACGATAAGCTGCAGACTCTATAATTTTAAAATAGGTACAATTTTGAAGGAAATCTAATATGGATATATACGAAAATTGTTATTTATAGATGCTGGTTATTCTTTAATTCTAGTTTATATAAAATAATTCGTTTTTAAAAGAATATTGCAAACATAAAATTTTGGAATTAAAGAAGAATATCTGAGAATACCGAAAAAACAGTGAAGTAAAATTACTTCTGAAGGAAAAATGTCCGTTTGACTTTGTAACACGACAATTTGATTAATCCGTAATGAACTTTCGTCTCCAATTTTGATTTCTGGAAAAGAATCGTTAACCTACGAGACTCTGAACTTCCCCGACCAGCTGTCGTGTAGTAGTAACATACGCGCGGAACAATAGTTAATTGCGCTGCTAATGTGTACGTGTAATTTACGGTGAAATTATGTGTAATTTTTGCCCGTCACTGGGCGCCGTTCCCTGGGCACGCCATCTTTAAATGAATGCACGCGTCCGGCAAGCGGAATGGCCGGCTAAATGGCGAACGCAACGCGTTAATGCGACAACTTACGGACACGCTGCATCTTTCGTATAATTCCGGCGGCACGGCTGGTTGGTTAATGTTTTACGGTGTTTGTGTGTCGACCGTTCCCCCGCGGGTCGCGCGGAAGCAAAAAGGCCCGCGTCGAAATAAATCTCTCGTTGAAACACGAATCGCTAACGGGAAACTGAGCATTGACATCGCTTTACCGTGGCCGGCGGACACTGCGACAGGATGTTTTAAATTTGAAACACGGCTGCAGAAATGTGTCCGCCGGACGGACGGGGAATAATGTAGCGGATTATGTATTTTCTGTTTGAGCGAGACTCGCGATTTCGACAACGAAAATCAAGTATTACGATGAAATATTGTGGCTTGTAATCCGGAATTTCGTGAATATTATCGTTGGGTTCATCTAAATGTGCGCCACGAGAAAAAAGAGAACAGTTGAGAACGTGAAATCGAATGTTCGCGTGATCGAGATTTATCGACCGTTTAGAAATATTACTCTTTAGCCTCGTGACAGTTTTACGATTATCCTTGGGAATTGTACTTCGGTCATTTCATTGAATTTTTACGGTGGCGAGAGTTGAATTGATATTTATTTAATTTTGCTATTAGAAAACAAGGAAACTACGATGAGAAATCGTTTCTGCAATTTTATTAACAGGCACGAAAGGATTGAAAAATTATTATTGAACGTCTAGACTGTAATTGCAGCTACATTTATGGTAAATTGCAAACATTATGTTAATACGGGTTCCAAACGTGGCAATTCAGTTTTTCTTTGAGGCTTAACTACAACGGTTGAGTCAGGTTCTGTTACAAAATGTATTATGACAGAGAAAAATTCATTCTAACGTCTTTCCACGCGATCAACGCGATCCGGCTGGTCGTTTCTTATACGGACCATGTGTTTCAAGTATAAAAAGGGAGGGCGATAAAAGGTGTTCGTCGTTCTTCACTCCTTTTGTAACATTATTCCGCTCGATTAAGACTGGCGATCGTTCGTCTTCGACTTGACTCGATTAAAACTTCGTCGACTGAAGCACCTTCGATAAAAAAGTGGCCTTGATCGCGCGATAAACGTTTAATGAGCAACTGACGAGCGAACGCGTGACCGTTGATCATAGTCGCGTCAAAGGAAAAGTGGAAAAAGTCAGAATCGTGTCGTTAATCGTCTTGCTCGGCTGATGCTGACAGTAAAGCGT